GTTGGTTGAGGGAGAGGAAAAGGTTGATATTGAGGTATTTGGTTTCAGACCAGCTATTGAATTATGTCCCCCTAAAACTCAAAGGTTGAATCCCTAATTCCCAATGTTACTCTCTCTGGAGATAGGATCTTTAGAAGGTATCTTAGTCCATTTGTGATGATATAAAAGAATACCTGAGACTGGGTAGTTTAAAAACAGCAGAAATTTGTTTCTCACAGTTCTGGAGGCTTGGAAGTCCAAGATCAAGAGGCTGGCCCTCCAGAGGATGCAACAAGATGAGGAACACTGTGTCCTCACATGGGAGAAGTTCAAGACAGCAAGCTAGCCAAATGTTTCATGAAGCCTCTTTTATAAGGTCCTTAATCTCATTAAGGAAGGAGGATCCCTCATGACCTAATCACATCTTAAAGGCTCCACCTCTTAATACTATCACATCGGCAAAACCAGAATTTTGAACAGTACACATTCAAACCATAGCAGAAGGTCATTAAGGTTAACAGAAGTCATAAGTTTGGGGCCCTAATCTGTTAGGACTGTGGCTTATAAAAAACCTCTCTCTCTCTCTGCTATGTGAAGGCATATCAAGAAGGCGTCTCTCTACAAGCCAGTAAGAGACCCCTCACTAGCAAATAAATCCTGCTAGACTTTGATATTGGAGTTTGCAGCCTCCAGAACTGTAAGAAAACAAATTTTTATTGTGTAAGCCACCCAGTCTGTGGTATTTTGTTATGGCAGATGGAACTGACTAGCACAGGAGCTTGGAGTAGGATGGTGGGAATGGGGAGATGTTCATGCCATTCACCCAGATCAACAACACAGGGCAAGAAGCAAGTTGGGACAGTGTAAGTTCAGATTCGGATATGTTAGATTAGGTAGAAATTCACATGAGGAGTTAAACAACTGAAAATATAGATTGGAAGCTCTGAAGAGAGGTTGGCTAGAGATATGGATTTAGGAGCCATCAACAACAGGGGGCAACTGAAGCCATGGGGATGGGTATACAGTGCAGGACGGGAGTTCGAACCTGGTCTCTGAGAAATGTCCAGAGATGGAGGAAGAGAATCATGATAGAGTGGTGACTCTGCAGCCAATGAGAGAATTTTAGAAAGGGGTGATTAACATTATCAAATGCCTGAGTGCTGGGCACATTTCTAGGAACATGTCTAAGTGTTTTGAAATGGCCCTTAAAATCAAGGAGCTGGCTGAACACAATGGCTCATGCCTGTAATCTCAGCACTTTGGGAGACCGAGCAGGTAGGACCGCCTGAGCCTAGGAGCTTGAGGTGGCTGTGAGCTATTATTACATCATTATACTCTGGCCTGTGCAACAGAGAGAGACCCTGTCTTGGGGAAACCTGCCCCCACCCCCCAAAAAAAACCAGAAAACCAGAAAATAAGGAGTTTACAGTCTACCTAAACAGACATACACACAAACACATGGCAATTAGAAATCATTCATTTAGGATTAATTGCTCATTAATGTAACAGAATAGTGTAATAGAGACTCATCCATTTATTCTGCACATGTATATTGAGCACTCACTATGTGTCAGGCATTTAGTTGTCAGAAGAGGCAACTGGGTTTTTTAAGAGAAGGACATGACTTAGTTGTTAGGCTGGAAAGAATGATATTCTGGCTAAGTGTAAAAGAACAAAAGCAGAGTAACATAGGCATATTGACTGGGATGGGCTTGGGAAGGTGGAGAGGATCTCTGGTTTTGGCCAGAGACCAAAGAAGGGGGAATAATTTGGGGGAAAGTCTGCCTGAGTGAGTTGGTGCCATAGACTGGAGAGCTGGAAGGAACCCACCAAGTGTAGTTAGTCTCAGAAATTTTCTTGCTCCAGTATTTTCCAGGGCTTATGCTCCTACTGCTCCAACACAAGGCTGAACCCCCTTGTGTCAGGCTGTCAAGCTAATAGGGCCACTGCCTCCTCCAGAAAGGACATGCAGAAAGTGCAAGCTACTCCATTGGCCACCAAATGAGAGTTCAAATGCCCTCCGACTTGGAGAGGACATTCTCATAACGAGATTCTGAGGCAAAGCATAATTAAAAGAGGACTTTAGGCATAAGAGCAGCTTCCAAGCCCTGATCTACACCTGGGTTCTTTCAAATAGCTGGTGCAAGGAGATTGGGTGATCCAAAGAGTCAATTATAACTTATATTGGCTTTGGGTGGACCGATAGAGAGCCTGACATATGGTCGCGTTGATACTTAGAATGAGCGACTGCGCGGAGGATGTACTACCAGTCTTTGTCCACTACCAGTTTTCCCTGGCCAGGACCTAGTAGCAAAGCTTCCCAGAGACTGCTCTAAGGCCGTAGTTCTCCAGACGGCCGCCGGAAGAGGGCGCTGTGGATCGCCCCGGTCTGCAACCTTTAGCCCACAAGCACTGGGCTACGAGGGGGAATCCAGCCTCTGTCAAGTCCCAAAAAACCTTAGGCCTCAGAGATTCCCGCTCCAGCTTTCCCCCACCCCCAACCCACTGGCCTGGGATCGGTACCGCGGCTACCGGAAACTGCCTGGGACAAGCGTTGTGGGTGTGGGGGAGACAGGCTAGGGCGGGAGGTTGCAGGGGAGGAAAGCGGAGGAAGGAACCCCAGCGCTGCTGGAGAGCCCGCGGGAAACGCGAACACCCGAGGCCCACGGGCTCACACTGTTGGGACTGCGATTTGTTAGGGAATGGGGGTCAGAAAGAGCTATAGGTTTCGACCCCCCAAAGCTGAATGAGACTGCACAGGTCCTGGGGCGAAAACACCCGCGCCGCCCACCGGGATCCTACCGGAATCTGTCCTTTAAATCTCGGGTGCAGCTGCGAACCTGCCTCAGAGCCGCAGGCGCCCTAGAGCGCCCCCGAGGGTGTCCCCGCCCCTTCCGACTGGAGCGGCTGGCTGATTCGCCGCGGAGCGCGGCGGCGCGGGCCTCGCAGGGCCAGCTGGCCGCTTCAGGCCCGTGCCCCCACCTCCCGTCTTCGTCTCGGTTTCTCCGCAGTTCAAAGGGGGCTGCTGAGCTCCCGTTGCTCTCTGCTTTGTAACCCGCTCCCCGGAGTCCCTCCTACCCAGGCTCCTTCCCGCCAGAGGGCGCCTCTGGAGTCGGTGGAGAAGGCAGGGGCTCTAAATACAAAAACTCAAGACGAGTTGAATCTTGGCTTGAACTGCATGACATGAAAATAGGCAAGTTTGGAGACCACAGGTGTTAACTTCTAGATGGGCTTGACCCGACAGGAAAACAGATTCTTCAACGCCAAAGGCCTAAGGACCGGACTTTTCTTCGACGGACTCGCCCTCATAGGCGCGCCCTCGCGTCCCATTCCCACCGCAGAGCACGCCTGTGCGAGAAAGGGAGATGCAGAAGCCGCGCTCCGATGTCTCTGCGCCCCACTCCCAGCCTGCCCACAGGCCACGACTTGAGAAAAGCGTTCCCAAAAGGAAGGTCCCCTCAAGGTCCTAGACGGTCAAGTCGGGAGAGAGAGCAGTCGAGGCACCTTTCTTCCACTGCGTTTGTGAAAGCCACCTGTCTGCACGCCCCGAGCTCCCGCGGTCCCTCTGAGGCTTTCGGCTCTGGTGCCTGGGAAAGCAGCGCAGAGGGGGCCCTGCCTGACCCCTCCAGAGAGAGGAAGCCCGAGGCACGCCTCCTATCTTGGGGTTGCACAGCAGCGCCCCCAAGCGTCCAGTCGCGCTCCTGCCTTCCTCTCCCTGCACCTGGTTGCCTCGACGGCACTCGCGAGCCCAGCTCAGCCTGGCCTAGAAGTCTGTGCCTGGCTGTGGGAGACCCTAGGGAGCAGCTGAGGGGCCCAAGTGCTTCTTGTTAAAGGTCAAAGGCCTAGATTAACAGTTTCTATATATAAAAAATACGGAATCAGAGGGAATAACTCCTTTTGTTAGCGACTTCTGTGATCTACAAACTCAGGCACGTGATCTCGTCCTGAATTGTTTGGATCCCTAGCACAAACCAGGCCAGCACACAGGGCAGGGTGTGACCCTTTTTACAGCTCAGGAAACAGGTGCGCGCTAGCAGGCCGTGTTTTCTTCGCATTTTTAAAGGCACTGGGGGACTCAAAGATAGATAAAACAGGGTCTCACCCTCAAGGAGAGGAGCCAGGAAACACACTGGTTTATTCTGGCTGTGATGGTAGTGACTCCAGGGTGTGGTGGGAGCCCACAAGAGCGGTACTGCATAGCTAGAAAGTGGCAAAGCCAAGGTCAAACCTAGGACTTCTGACTTTACTCAAGGGCTCCTCTCACGAACTTGGAATGCTGGGAGATTAAGAATTGGTGCGGAAACCCACACACAAACCTCCATTACAACCCTCTCTATCTCATTGGACCCTGCAGTAACATCTATCAGAAAGTAACTACATATTATTTGGGTGATTTATTGTGAATGTGTAAGCTCCGTGTGAGTAGGAGCTGGATCTAGATTAAGGATGAATTTTCGGGCCTAGCACAGTCCCTGGCACTGAGCCCGAGCTGAATAAATAGTGTTGAGCGAATCATAAATTGCGAAAAAACTCGGAGAAAAATAACACTACCAGGAGACAGGGTCGCTCAGGCCTTAGAGAAGGACTGCAAAGGGAGTTAGAAAAAGCAGTTGTGGGGTGGGGCGGTGAGACAGGTGGTTCCGCCTCACAGTTCCACCCGGTCCAAGCTACAGACCTGAATTACCCTTCTGTATGAGCCCTCTGTTGTCTCGCAAAGTGACACTGGAGGGAGAGAAGGAAGTGTCCCCGTGGCCATGCTGGTGTGAGCAAAGGCTGACGGCGATTTCGCTCGTCTAGGGCCGAGCCTGGGCCTTCGCCCCCTTGTATTCCCGGCCGAGCCCCAGCCAGCAAAGCAGAGTGTGGTTGGAATTAAGGCGGCGACCGTGTGAGGCCGCGCCAGGGAAAGAGAGGGGCCAGCGTTGGGCACTGCCCTGCCCTGATCGCTCCCCACTGTGCCCACTCCACCCGGGAGCGAGTTAGTTGTGGAATAAAGGAAGACACGCAGACTTCGAGAAGTGGAATTGGGGTTCTTCGTATTCATGGGAAAAAAAATTACTGATTTAGCTGGGGTCTGCCCTATTTAGGATGAATCCGATGGTGCCTGAGAAAGCAGCGCAGAGAGGGCCCTGCAAGACCCCTCCAGGAGGAAAGAAAGAATGCTCCTCGGTCAGAAGGAGGTGTTTTGGGCCATGGGAGGGACTCTCAACGCCTTTGCTTGGATAAGCTCGGGGATACAGATATCCTCCTCTTCCCCACAAGACGCCTTAGTCTCCGGGCTTATTCTTGGCGGTGCAGCGGTCCTGGGGAAGAAGGCACAGCCGCGTGTTGAGAAGGGGCTGGGATAGGAGAGGCGCTGGAGCCTGGGCGGCAGGGCTCTGCAAAGGCCCAGGCGGGGTGAAGACGAGAGCTTGCTGGCGAGCGCGAGAAGCACGCCTGCAGACAGAGGTTGAAGCGCAGTCCCAGTTTCGCCCCAGAGGGAAGCGCGAGTCTTTGCCCGCACCAGCCACTGCGAGCTCCGCTCCAGTTCAGCTCCCAGACTCGCCACCTGCTGCGCGATTCTGGGGAGGGGGTTACTGGTCCAGAACGGCAGGGCAGGGGCTCCCTCTAGAGCTGCAGGCCCGGTTGCCCTGGGACTCTCCCAGCTGGAGGCCAGGGAGCTGCCAGCCACGTGCACCTGTGACCTGCTGAGAGGCTGAAAAGCTGCCAAGGGACGAAGGCCGAGTAGACAGGACCCAGGGGCTGTGGAAGATTCATCCAACTCTTACTCAAGTCTGGGGACCTAAAGAGGGGGTGGGGATAATCATGATAATAACTGCGGCATCTGGCACCGAGCTGAAAAACATTCAAAGCTTTCAAAGCACTTTGATGTGCTCCATCTTACTTGAGTCTCACAAAAACCTTGTGAAGAGTGATCTCCACTTCTAAATGGCGTTGAGACTGGGAGAGATGTACAGCATTCTACACTTGGTGTTTCTTAAATTTACCAACAACTATAAAATAATGGTGAGTGAGAGAAAGAAGCTGGGTAACTGGGAAACCCACCCCGCCTTCGCAATCAGACCCCATTCGGGACGCAGGCCCGCCCGGGTCGAGCCTGCAAACAAGGTCTGTATTCAGCGTTGCCAGTTCTCTGTGGTTCGCTTAAGCCCAGCGTCGTCTCCCCTCCTTGCTTAGACACCACAGTGACCAAGGCGCAGTTCGTCGGATCCTGAGAGCGCCCCCCAGAGAACCCCCTGGGAAGGAAGGGCAAGCAGCAGGGCTTCGCTCTGGTCTTTCGCAACACAAGCGGCGAGAGCGCGTCTCCCTGCGCAAACGCAGGGTGTTCTCCCCAGCGCTGCCATGGGGGCGGCACGGAAACGCGGGTCCAGGTGGGAGGGCGGTAGGTGCCCTGCGCTTTCTTTCCGCTGGTAAAGAAGGTAGGCGGTGAGAAAAGAGAATGTTAGCATAGACGTTGGCTTTATATTGAGGGAATACAGAGCACTCTTCAAGGAGAGGGCTGAAATCTTTAAAAACAAAACTTTCTGTACTATAATTGCTATTAATAATAGTAATAATAAAAGGAACCTGGATGAATTAAGTAGCTCAAAACTGCCTGTTCATCATCAGGAACTCCCTTTCTGCACGGAAGGGAGAGAAAATGTGAAAACAAAAACTAAATTCAAGAAGCTCCTTGGCCGGTGCGGGTGTCTTGGGGGCACCTGCCAGGCTCGGCCGGGGAGCGCTCCGCCCTCCCAGCCCCTAGCGCGGAGAGGAGGCTAAAACAGCCAAAGAGAAAGCCAAACAAAAACAATAATAAAAACGTTTAAAATACAAGGACAAAAACCGGAGTCGGTCTCAAAATCTGCGCGGTGCAGGGCTCCACTCGGTAGTCGACTCGGCTGCAGGCCCCAGCCTGGCCGGAGTAACGTGGGGGACGCCCCCGGCCCAGCTGGGGAGCGCAGCCCACAGCTCCCCCTCGCCAGGCGCCCAAGGACCCTCAAGGCGCGGGGCCCACACTTGAAGCCTGGGAACGCGCAGACAGGAAACCCACTTCCTCCTAAGCAGTTTCTTGCTCGTCGGATGAGAGGCGCCCAATTGAAGCAGAATGATCCTCATCTACTAATATCCAGCATGGCCACAAAGCGACTGGCCATTTACGCCACCACTTTAAACAAAGATATTTGGTTATTCCCGGGAAGCAAGTGCACTTTTGCATGGCTGAGCTCCGGGCGGAGGCGAGCCTCAGCCCAGCCTCCCGCCCGCCAGGCTGCCTGCACCTCGGCATTCGCCCCCTCCTGGCCAGCGCTCCAGCCGCCGGGGTTCAGGCTCCGTTCCGCCCGGCTACAGACTGGCGGGCACTCACGCCGCTCCCTGCCCGTGCTCTCCCAGAAGCATCAGAGGGGAAAACAGCGTGGCTCTGGGCTCGGGTGCTAGGGCTGTGATGTCCTCGGAAAGTCAACTCCAGCCCCAGAACTCCTCGTGTCTGGGAGATGGGCGAGGGTCAGGGACACCAGGTTTGTTCGAGGTGGGGCAACTTCAGTGACGGACCCTCCCGTTAGACCCCTTCCCATGCTCCCAGCTCAGGGGGCCAGTGCTGTGTTTGCTTGGCCGGGGGTGGGGGTGGGGAAAGACCTGGGGGGAGGCGTGTTGGGGGTGGTGGCCCACAGAAAAACCCCTGAGCTGCGGGGGCGGGTGGTGGCTTGGGGATCCGGGACAGCCTCGGGGAGGCAGTCGATCCCCTACTCAGCGCCCCCTCCGCCCGCTCGGGGTCTCTTGGGTAGAAGGAAAGGGGGCGGGGAGCAGAGGTGTCCCTCTGACGGCTGCAGAAGAGAGGCAGACAGACTGACAGACACGTAGACCAACGGTGCGGCCCCAGGGTTCGTCCCCAGACTCGCTCGCTCATTTGGTGGCGACTGGGGCTCAGCGCAGCGAAGCCCGATGTGGTCCGGAGGCAGTGGGAAGGCGCGGGGCTGGGAGGCCGCGGCGGGAGGGAGGAGCAGCCCCGGCAGGCTCAGGTGAAACCCCCACCCCGTCCCTCGGCCCCCTCCTCCTAAAGACCTATCCCCGCCCGGGGAACCCCAACCGAATTGGAAAGTGGTTCCACTTTGTAACTCCGCAAGTTGGTTGCAAAGCAGCATTTACCTTTCTTCCTCCCAACCATCTCTCCTCCTCTGTTACTCCTCCACCCCACCTCCTGCCCTCCCCGCTCTCGGCTCCCTCCTCCTTCCCCTCCTCTCCACCTCCTCCCCGCGCGCCGCTGGTACCCCACAAAAAAATGGGGGTGGGGGTGTCTAAGGGAGGGGGGAAATGCTTTGGGTCTCGAGTCTGCCTCTCTCTCTCTCTCTTTGAGACCTAAAAATCCTGACAAGTGAAACTTAAAGGTGTTTACCTTGTCATCAGCATGTAAGCTAATTATCTCGGGCAAGATGTAGGCTTCTATTGTCTTGTTGCTTTAGCGCTTACGCCCCGCCTCTGGTGGCTGCCTAAAACCTGGCGCCGGGCTAAAACAAACGCGAGGCAGCCCCCGAGCCTCCACTCAAGCCAATTAAGGAGGACTCGGTCCACTCCGTTACGTGTACATCCAACAAGATCGGCGTTAAGGTAACAGCAGAATATTTGGCAAAGGGAGAAAAAAAAAGCAACGAGGCTTCGCCTTCCCCCTCTCCCTTTTTTTTTCCTCCTCTTCCTTCCTCCTCCAGCCGCCGCCGAATCATGTCGATGAGTCCAAAGCACACGACTCCGTTCTCAGTGTCTGACATCTTGAGTCCCCTGGAGGAAAGCTACAAGAAAGTGGGCATGGAGGGCGGCGGCCTCGGGGCTCCGCTGGCGGCGTACAGGCAGGGCCAGGCTGCACCGCCGGCCGCAGCCATGCAGCAGCACGCCGTGGGGCACCACGGCGCCGTCACCGCCGCCTACCACATGACGGCGGCGGGGGTGCCCCAGCTCTCGCACTCCGCGGTGGGGGGCTACTGCAACGGCAACCTGGGCAACATGAGCGAGCTGCCGCCGTACCAGGACACCATGAGGAACAGCGCCTCTGGCCCCGGATGGTACGGCGCCAACCCAGACCCGCGCTTCCCCGCCGCCAGTAAGTGAGGCCGCCCCACTGCGGGGCCGCGGGCTGAGCTCAGGAGGTGCGGCGAGAGCCGTCCAGAAGGCGCGGCGCCGGCTGGCTGCCCGCTAGGCATCAGGGTGGGCGGCCCGGCAGCGGCGCCAAGTACTAGGGTGTGGGAGCTGGGGATGTTTCCCTCTGCTCGTCTGGGGGTCCAAGAACAGGCAATTGGTAGCGCTGGGGTCCTGCGGTCAGATGCGGGTACTCGGTGTCTCCTAGGCGCGGTGGACTGGCAGCTCTGCTCCGCTCAGAAGACCTCGGGGAGCCCAGGGAAGCGACCCCGAGCTCAGGGAGCAGAGCGCGGAGAGGCCAGGCCCAGTCAGGAGGGAGGCTGCTCTGTTGGGAGGCACTGGAGCGCCCGGCCCGGTCCTCTCTCTAGCGGAGTCTGGGCAGGTGGGAGACTTGCAGTTCCGGAGGGGACTCTGAGGGGCTGAGCAGGTGCCCTCACTGGGGCCGACAGGAGAGAAGCCAAGAGGCAAAGCATCTGGGGGCTCCAGCTTTTGGAAGTCAACACCCCCTCGCCTAACCTCTCCAAATTGGGGTCTACCGTGGGACTCCAGCTCCCGGCCTGAGCCCAGTTCGCCGCCTGTGGCCAGCTAATCTCATTGCTCTGACCTGGGCTGGGCAGGCACTAAAGGAGCAGAAGCGGCCTTTTCCCCACTGCGCCTATTGGTTCGAAAGAGGGAACTGAGACTGAGGGTGGGCAGCCAGGGTTGGGGCTGTGAGCGCTCCAGTGCAGCCCTCGACGGCCACCGCCTGGGGCAGACGCTGGCAGTCCCCAGAGGATGGGCCTCTTGGGACCGAGCGCTAGGCTGCCTGGGTCAGGAGGGCGCCGTCGGGTCGGGGCGGGCCGGGCCGGCCAATGGCGCGGAAAACTGGGGTGGCCTGGCCCGGCCTGGCCCCGGCCGACGCTGTGCGTTTGTCGCTTACAGTCTCCCGCTTCATGGGCCCGGCGAGCGGCATGAACATGAGCGGCATGGGCGGCCTGGGCTCGCTGGGGGACGTGAGCAAGAACATGGCCCCGCTGCCAAGCGCGCCGCGCAGGAAGCGCCGGGTGCTCTTCTCGCAGGCGCAGGTGTACGAACTGGAGCGACGCTTCAAGCAACAGAAGTACCTGTCGGCGCCAGAGCGCGAGCACCTGGCCAGCATGATCCACCTGACCCCCACGCAGGTCAAGATCTGGTTCCAGAACCACCGCTACAAAATGAAGCGCCAGGCCAAGGACAAGGCGGCGCAGCAGCAACTCCAGCAGGACAGCGGAGGCGGCGGGGGCGGCGGGGGCGCCGGGTGCCCACAGCAGCAACAGGCTCAGCAGCAGTCGCCGCGCCGTGTGGCCGTGCCGGTCCTGGTGAAAGACGGCAAACCCTGCCAGGCGGGTGCCCCCGCGCCGGGCGCCGCCAGCCTACAAGGCCACGCGCAGCAGCAGGCACAACAGCAGGCGCAGGCCGCGCAGGCGGCGGCAGCTGCCATCTCCGTGGGCAGCGGTGGCGCCGGCCTTGGTGCACACCCGGGCCACCAGCCGGGCAGTGCAGGCCAGTCTCCGGACCTGGCGCACCATGCCGCCAGCCCCGCGGCGCTGCAGGGCCAGGTCTCCAGCCTGTCCCACCTGAACTCCTCGGGCTCGGACTACGGCACCATGTCCTGCTCCACCTTGCTATATGGTCGGACCTGGTGAGAGGACGCCGGGCCGGCCCTAGCCCAGCGCTCTGCCACATCGCTTCCCTCCTGCCCGCCACACAGACCACCATCCGCCGCTGCTCCACGCGCTTCGACTTTTCTTAAGAACCTGACCGCTTTTCGACCACGGAACAACAACAACAACAACAAAAACAAAAACACAAAGGCCAAATTGCTGGACGTCTTTCCTTTTTTGCCCCTAAAATTTGTGGGTTAAAAAAAGACAGACAGAAAGAAAGAAAATAAAAATAACCAAGCGAATCCAATTTCTTAAGGAATCTTTAAGCAGAGAAGGGCATAAAACAACTTTGGGGGTGTCTTTTTTGGTAATTCAAATGGGTTTCCCACCCTAGGGCAGGGCACAGTTTGGAGAGGGCTCTGTGCTGACATGGCTCTGGACTCTAAAGACCAAACTTCACTCTGGGCACACTCTGCCAGCAAAGTGGACTCGCTTGTAAATACCAGGATTTTTTTTTTTTTTTTTTTTTTGAAGGGAGGACGGGAGCTGGGGAGAGCAAAGAGTCTTCGACACAACCCACTTGTCACTGACACAAAGGAAGTGCCCCCTCCCCGGCGCCCTCTGGCCGCCTAGGCTCAGCCACGACCGTCCCTCCGCGAAAACTGTTACGTTTGATGTGAACTTGTAGCTGTAAAACGCTGTCAAAAGTTGGACTAAATGCCTAGGTTTTAGTAATCTGTAAATTTGTTGTAAAAAGAAAAACCACTCCCAGTCCCCAGCCCTTCATATTTTTTATGGGCATTGACAAATCTGTGTATATTATTTGGCAGTTTGGTATTTGCGGCATCAGTCTTTTTCTGTTGTAACTTATGTAGATATTTGGCTTAAATATAGTTCCTAAGAAGCTTCTAATAAATTATACAAATTAAAAAGATTCTTTTTCTGATTAAAACCCTCCTTTTTGTTTGGTTTTGATTTGGCTTTAAATGGCTTTTGGTGGGGCAGGGGGAGCGGCTTGGGAGGATCTTGTTTTTGGTCTGATGAGAATCAAATTGTTTGAGTTTGAGTTCAAAGGATTCTGAACCGGTTAAGGAGGTAAAGAGGCCAGGCCTAGAGTCCCTGCCCCACGGGAAAAGGGAGTTTTGTTCTGCCTCGGAACCTGTGTGGAACCAAATCTTGAGCAGTCCTGAGACTGCAGTGGAGGACAGAAATGCCAAACTACTTCCACCAAGAAGAGGGAGAGGGGAAGAGGAAGAGAAAGAGATCAAAAGATTCATTTTCAGAGTCAGACTTTTGTTGATAGGAGCTTCAGAACTGTCTGCTGTCTACTGTGGTCTCACAAAGCTGAGCCAACGTTTTAAAACAGTGAGAGAAGACAACTATTTTAAATAACTCTGAATGAGTTCTGGTTTTTAGTGAATGGATCGCCTCTATAGATTTGAACATTGAACCTTTTTTCCTTAGCGGAGCTCCTTCACAGAATTCGGTGAGAGACTGTTTTGGAAAGTGAGGAAGTCATTCTGGGGTTCTGTTTGTGCCCTAAAACAGGGATGCCCTCTCGGGGACGAGCAGCAGACACCCCAGCCACTGCTGCTTTTGGCTCTTTTGGCCTCCAGTGGAGCAAAACTGTGTGACAGGACTGAGGATGTCCCAGGAAGGACTTCAGGAGCTGAGATTTCACTGTTTATTGCACTGGTTTTTTATCTCTGGGTTCCTAAATTTTTGTAGCAATGAATCTTTCTCCTGTTTCCAGTTCTTCACTTCCTGGCCACTACCTCCCATGCCAAGCAAAAAAAAAAATCATTTTTGATTCCTTTCTTCCGACCTCTAATTTCCTGGTCTCCTCAGCGTTCAGTGTTTTTGTTGGGAGCTCCATTAGGGATGAGAGGGAGGAAAAAAGGAATGGTTTGAACACAGAAAAAATTGTAGTTTCTGGATGGCTGTTGCTCCTTCTGGGTCACTCTTGCTAAATCTTCCAGCGGGGGAAAGGCTGCTGAGCGAGCGAGGCATATGCCCCTCCCAGTACTTTCCTCTAGGCCTGGAAGTACTGGATTATGGGCAATTGATTCTTATTTGGCATGTATTCACTTCTCACCTAGATTTTCAACTTTCTTTTTCTTGTCCCTCTCTTCTCCTCTTTCATTTCATTGTCTTCTTCTCTTCCCAAGCCCTCCCTGCAGATCCCCCACCAAGAGCTTGTTAGGAAAGTAGACTGGCCAGAGTCCTCGCTCTGGACCCAGCAATCCTCTTTGTTGACTTCCTGGAGGCTCCTCTGGCGTGATGCCTTAAGACTGGGGGCTAGGCCCGGCTTTCTCCCTCAGAAACCTGGGCCTGACTGCGGAGACACGGTTTCCAATATCCAGAGGGACTCGTAGATTCCAAACAGGAGAGTTGGGTTCAGTGAGTGTCCTGGTTGGAAGGCTGGGAAGGGAGATTTTAGCAAGTCTCACATTTTGGAAAACAAATAAACAAAAACCTGTAAAGTTTGACCACTTGCTTGGAATGGCCAGCCATGGTTCTAGGATAGGGAGTGTAGGTGGCTAAGGCATCCAGCTCAGACCAGGCGGACAGGGACGTGGATACTGCAGCTGCTGTTTGGCTCTAGGTCCGAATCCCACAGGGTTGGAGCTTCATTTAACCTGCCCCAGCCTAGCCCAAGCCCGGACGGGGACGGAGCTGGCGGCGCCCGGCTGTGGTCAGGGCAGCTGCCCCGCTCCACATTCTAGCCGGGAGCCAGCCCTTGGGAATCACTGTTTTAGTAAGCTGTGGTACCCCCAGTCTTAATCACGTTTGCACTGGATGGAGTTTCTATCAAATACATTCTTCTCCTTGCTGTCTAGAGTCGGCTTAGTTTGAAGTTTGTTTACTTGTCCCGGGGAAAGGTGAACTCAGTCGCGTTTACGGACCGACCGAGACAAACAGGACCTCGGTCTCTTTCTCGCCATCAATCACAAGGGCTCCATCTGCTCCCGCTCCCGCTTCCGGCTGGGTGACTTGTCGCAGCTGCAGGTAGAGACCTAGAATGCAATCTGAAGCGTTTCATTAGGGAAATAGGTGGGAGCAGGGCGCAGTACAAGAGGGTTCTGAAGCCCGGGGACACTCTCTGCCCCTACAGCACCGTCGGCTTCTGTAAAGCCAGCCGGCCTCCTTCCCTGGAATCTCCTGCATCAACTCATGCCCAACAACTCCTGCCCAATTTCTGGCCTCCCCTCTCGGAGAAATGAGCATTCCAAGGATGTGCCTGGTCCTGAGGTGCTTGGAAGCTTCCGAGGTTTGGGAACAGTACAGTTCACCCCGAGATCACCGCGAAGCTTTGGCTCCGTCAAAGTACCCTACCCATCCCTAGGCCCCAACGGCTGCGAGGAGTGGGGGAGATTTTGCACACTGCACCCCCCCTTCCTCCTCTCCCCACCCCCACTTCGCCATGTAAACACGAGGACTTTCTCGAGAGCCTTGGAGAGCCGCTCTAGTGGCTTCGGGCCCTGAAACCCCAGGCTGGGCTTGTTTGATGTTTAGCATCCCAAAGGGGCTCCCCACCCTGGCCCCAGCCTGGTAACTGGGAGCTGTGGGCAGGAGAGGAAGGAAATCAGCTCTCTCAGCTAGCTAGGGGGTCAGGGACTGGGCCAGGCTCAGAAGCGGGGAGAAGAGCGAGACAGAGATGCTCTGAGCAGGGGAGACAGGGATACCAGGCTGCAGCCGCTACCAACAAGGGCACACACTGCGGTCCTCAAGGCCAGAAGGCGGGTGGGGGCAGGGAATGCTTCAGCCAACAGGGCAGGGGCTCGGCCCTGCTGCTGGCCGGGTGGGAAGTAGCCTGGGGCCCTGCGACTGAAATCCGAGCCAAGCCCGGACACTCTCCGCTAGAAACGCTCTGGCGCGCACTCCAGGAGACTCGGAGGCCCCGGGCGCTCTTGCCCAGTGTCCTTGTAGGAGGCTTCTTCCCGAAGCTTAGAGTTTGGCCTTTCATAGGGAAGACTTGCTCGGGAGCCTTCTAAAAGATTTTACATCTTCCTGGGCCAGGGCTAGGGAGCTCTAGTGACAGTGCCTTGGTCTGGCATCCAAGACTCCAATTTTGAGGCCGCAGGGAGGAATTCTCAGACTGTAAGAGGCCGCCCAGCCTTCAGCGCGCTCACCGCGTCCAAGCGTCGGTGAGGGGCTATCTCAAGGCACGAGTGCACACAAGGTAGCGCGAGTCTCTTCTCAGGCGATCCACATAAGAGGAAAGGAGAGCGGGGTTTTCTGACTTCCAACTCATTAGGGACCAGGTAAGGTCAATGCTTTCTCTATTATGTCTTTATCTTAAAAGCGGGTCAATTTAAGATAAGGGAAAAAAAATCCAGGATCTGTATGAACCGTGCTGATAAAGACTGACCCCTTTTCTGAACTAAAAGCAAGCCAGGCAGACATTCATTTTCTAAACAAGAGAGTTCTGAGAAGCTGCCTTGAATTCTGATCGTATGTCTCCAGACCTCGCTCTCCCTTCCCTGCTCCCCACCCCCCAATTATTAGGGCGAGGAAGCAGAGTGAGTAGACGATTTTATTTGTGGAGAACTAGGAAGCCCATTGGGAGATGAGAACGTGAGATGATATAATTCTTAGGCATGGGTTGCTGGGTGGTTCAGTTCAACTAGGGCTTTCTTTTCAAAGGAAGGAAAGTGAAACACTGGTACTGGGAAGGACTAGGCTGAATGTTTTCTCTGCTCGGCTAGCTCCTGGTTAGGGAACGCTGGACACCGCGTTTCTCTGGCTCTCCATGCCTTCCTGGCTGGTGCGTTCCTCCTGGTGCAGTTGCATTTCTGAGGCTTCAGACCACCCTCTGTGGGGCCCAGTTTGAAAGCTTACCTCAACTTGGAGCACAGAAAGTTTTCTGATGCTCCATCAGCCAGTTGCTTCTAGAAGGGGTACCCTATTTTCAGTCACCCTCTCTACAAAGTTTGTCCATCCAAGCTGAAGGAATTGAATATGGATGGGAGCAGACAAAAGTACGTTTTATTGAAGGGGGTTTGCATGTGCCCTTATCCTCACCTCATGTAGTTGTATTTCTGAACTTTCTTTAATGAATCTCAGAGGAATGGAGAAAGAACAGGCTCAGCAACTTGGCAGCACAGTCTTTTGCCTCAGCCGAAGCCACAGCTGAAGTGGCCGGCTGCATTTCTCTCTGATAGTGACCTAATGCCCAACTTGGTGGGCATCAAGGCATGTTCTTGGGCTCCTGTGCCTCTCCATGCTTGATAATGTTTCCCATTTCATCTCTGCTTTCTAAGCATATATTACCCTTGTTATTATGAGTTGTAGCAAAGTTTCGGAAAGGGTGAGATTTAAATCCATTTTCCTGTTTTATTTATTTTTGTTATTTGCAAGACATTTGAACATAAATTGATCACTGTTAGTGCTCTGCCCAAAATATAAATAAAACATAAACATGAATGTGGCAGGCAAGGGGACTTGTTAAAGAGAACTCTTGCCTCCCAGATAAAATCCACATCTAATACTGATTGCACACAGATGTCTATGTATATATGTATGTGTGTATAAAAGTATATATACATATGTAACTATCTTACACACATATGTCTAGTTTATAAGATATTCAAAAGAAAAAACTTCAATATAGAATTATCAGTAAGAGATTTTACAGAACCTGTTAGATGCACTACTCAATTAAGGTGTCTTATGAAAGAGTTTCCTTAAAAATTCAAATAGGCCAAAACTCTTTAGTTTTACCCACTTTAAGTCAGACTATTTATTTATTGTCATGTGAAACTCTGGATAACTAATTATGTTTTAGGAAATATTAAAATCTGTTCCTAAAGAATTTGAACTTGATGTCTGAGACACAGCTGTGGATAAGACTTTTTGAGGCATTCTATAACAAAAAAGAAATTGTCCCTTTCCAAACTTATATTATCCACCTATAAAAATCATTGGCATAAATACTACTGCCCTGGGGCAACAACAAAAACAACTAACACATGAAAACTGTTTCTGCTCCACATTTGAGGCAAACGGCCTCTTGATTTCAGCCTTTAAGCGTTCACATAGTATTGCAAATAAGAGGGCAAGTCAGTGTTATCTGATAACAAGGAAGAAGACCGACTAATTTTCCTCTCCCTTTGCCCCTCTGTTTCACACATTTCCAGAGAATCTGGTCTTTGATTGTTAGATCTTGCTGTTAGTAACAGCAGGCTGTTGGTGGAGTGTTAAACATTCTATTCTAGAGTATTGGTGATTGTTGATAATTTCCTTTCTATAAAATCAGAGCTATCAGGCCATGAAGTGTCCTTGGATATCCTTCTTCTGTCTCTGTGCTCTGGATCCAGTCTATGGAAAATGACCCACAACAGGTTGGCCTCCACCTTGCCTGGCATTCTCCCTCCTGATGCCGTTGCTTGAAAGGTCCAAAGCTCTAGGAAAACAAGACTTTATTTGGCCCGCATGCTACTGATTTACCCGATCTCTACAGCACACACAGGGCTGAGTGCGCGCGCACAGATGTAAACCTGGGAATTACCGTAATGACATGAAGAGGACTGAGAGCTAGTTCTTTGAGCTGGCTGCACGCTCTGCCATAACCCAGCAGACCCAGTCAACGTCTAAGGAACTGGATATGTCTATATGTAAAGCGAACCTCGCAAAATTATGGTCCCAACAGATGCTTCCAGACAAGTCTCTAAACAGATTTGCAGAGACAGACTTTTCTAGAGGAGACTCAAATCACAGAGGATTAAATCTCTCTCTCTTTCTTGCCACTTGATGGTGCCTCAAGGTCTGTAAGGCCTGGGTTGGGACTAAGGGCTTGGGGGGCTGGGCATTGACAGCTTTTTCCTTCCTTTCTAACACTGCCTCAGAAAGAATTGCAACCCTCAAACCACCGTGGTGCAAAGAGCACACATCCCTACCTCAAGCCACAGCAGACAGAAGTTGTAGCTAGTTCATCACTATCCACCCACCCACAGTATTAACTGAAATGTCAATCACTGCTCCCTGGCCGCACTATTTCCTGGCAGGACTCCTGATCCTGGGACTGGGTGCAGTAAGCTTTGGAAGTGCTGCATTGTATCATACCTACAACTCACACAATAGATAAAACTCAGACATCTCTCTACACATCTACATAGTCCATTGGCTTCATACTGAAATCAAACAGAAGAACCTTTTGGAAATATTTAACAAAAAGCCAACCCACTCATAGCCATCATTTAGCACTGGGTGGGGGTAAAGAGAAAGAGAAAACCTTTGAGATATATGGTATCATACAAACATATTCACATTAATCTTCCTGTATGAACCATTTTCTAACAATTACAATGCCATGTCAATACAGTTAGTTGTTGAAAATTCTCAACATGGCTAAATACTTAGATTACATTAGTCGTGTGCCTGTGAAAGCTAGTTGGGGGTTGTGTATGTGGTTCTGCTCAGTGGAAAGACAGAAAAAAGAAGCCAGAGTGTAAAGGAGACAGGGAGAAAAGAGAAACAACTGTTCCTGGTGAAAATGTGTGAGCTTCTGCGGGAGGCTGCAGCAGCTGAGAAGTGCTGGTTATATACAGCTGGGTCAAAGTGATGGGGTGGGGGGCAGTGGATGACTGTGTGGTGTGCTTGTGGTGTTTAGGGAGTGATCCTAGTGGGGAGGGCTTGGGAGACGGCTGGGATGTGGTGTGTGTACCATGTCTGAGCTTTGGGCCGGTAATACAATGGCAATGTAATTATCTGGCTGAAACATGCTCAAATGGCAAAAAAGTTGCGAAATAGATCGACCTCCCCAGGAAGAGACAGAGCTGGTTACAGAGGTCTGCAGCCATCATCCTTTTTTCAATACATTTTAAACAAGAGGATCTAGCGAGTGATTCTGATTCAATACACATAATCAGTTTGCAAGTCTTATTTCCATTTGAAAACAGGGCCATTTGCAATCATAAGAGCCGGACACGCTGAAAGATACGGAGTGCATTCCGAGTAGATGATGGGTGACAGAATCTGTAGGCAAGCACTAAATATTTTCTTCCAGCTTCAGACCTTGTGCATCAGTCTTCGGTCCTGATGTATTTTAAATGGAATATTCCTGTTGAATATATAATTTAATTGCTTAGAAAATGGAGACTCCATGGTTGGGAGGAAAAAATCGACAAGAAAGGTAACAGAGGAACCACGTTGATTGTGCTTCTCCTCGATACTGGTTAACGGTCATTTAATGAAGAGTCTACAGATTGGGTAGAAGACTTAATGAAAAAATTGAACTGGTTTTTAAGGGAACGGCTGCCAGACGGTGTAGCCTGGGACTAACATTCTCAGGCTGAAGCTGCGAAGCCCTAGGTGGGTGTGGCAGGGACTGGCAGGGAGTCTGCGGGGCCTTCAGGGAAGCCCAGGGACAACTCTGCGGCCTCTCAACGACGCCGCCAAAGCCCTGGGGGCCCCCTCGCGTCCGGCTGTTCCAATTGGTTGCCAGGTGTCTAAACTAGAAGTGTGGGCACTTGAAGAAACCTCGGCCTGTCTTAGGGTCTCTCGCTGAGAAAGTTTTGGTTTCTAGGACCTAGAGAAGCAGCTGTCCCAGGCCTTCCGCTTCCTGCCTGCAGCCTCATCCTCCCGCACCCGCCAGATCTGGGTCTCCCCAGGCCCAGTCCTCACCCCGCCCACTCGCCGCCACTCTCCCGACACCCAGGCGGCAGCCTCGCTCTCGGCCCCCGCCCGCCCAGAGTCTCCGCGTCCCAGCGCCCCGCCCTGCCCCGCCCTTGCCCAGGCTCTCCCTCACGTTCCCGCGCTGGGAACAGCCACAGCCGCGCCCCCCTGCGGACGCGGGCCCCAGCACCTCCGGGAGACCACACCGGCAAGTCTGGTGTGCGGAAGAGTAGAAACTTCCCCGGAATTTCGATCCCAGAATAACAAATAATAGTTCACTAGGTCACGACGATGATGCAAACCCTAACTTGCAAGGATTTTTAAAAAAGATCTTAACGTACAATCTTTGTTTGTACAAATAAACGAAACCAAACAAAGCCAGCGAGCTGCTGCTGTTTCCCTGGCGAATTTTCTTAAGGAAAAGAGAGATTCCGTCTCTGCCCAGATATCAACATCTAACGAACGTTCCAGCAGATTGAAACTCAACCTAACAATTGTATCTTCTTAATGCTGATTCCATTTTTATTTCAAATGGGGTAATTTACTAGCCTCATCAAAGTGGTACCTCGTAGGCAGGTGTGTTTTTGGATATCCTTGTAAAGCATTTCTGCTTCTGGGAAGATCTCAGGAGAACCAATAGATGAGGTGT